AGTTTAGTTTGCTCCCAGTTTGGTCCCCATGTTCAGTACTGGGTTAGGGTTGGCTTTTTTTCTTCTTTTTTTTTTCTTTTTTTTGTGTTTTTTTTTTTGTTTGAGTTTTTTCTTTTTTTCTTTCAGCACAAACAAGTTGCGAAGCAGGACGGGTGCTGTTGTATTTTCTCCTTCTGCAAGCCAGCTGCCTCCAGTCGTTAATTGACTGTGGGCACTTGATTCCTCTGTAAACTATATTCCTTTGCCTTCAGTCTCAGGTTGGCAATACTGTTGGCCATATTCATGCCCTGCGCCGGGCTGGCGTTGGTACACGTGGCGGAGTAGGTGGCCATGGCGCTGTGGGATGGAAAGAGAGAAACATCACGTTAGACGTGGTCTTCACACCATGCAGAGAGCAGACGCGCACCGCAGCAAGGTTAAACCCTGGGTTTCCATACTTGCGGGGATGTATTTCCTATGTGAGCAGGGAATTATCACTACTTTTTATTTAACACCCCTGTAAATCTCTCTGCTGCAGTTCACTTACCCGGGGCTAGCCAACGCCAAAGTTGGTTGAAGTCAATAGGAAAATTTCCATTTCCTATTTCCTAACCCAAAAGGTTTACAATGAGGTCAGGGTGCCCAGCCTGCCAGTTAGACCATTGTCCTTAAAAGTACTCCCACTGGAAGCAATGTCTTTTTGATGAGAGCATGATGCTGGTTTTATTGCTTGTGAAATCACGTCACTTCTGAAACACATGTTACATTAAAGAAACACTCTGGGAAAAACCCATTTCAACAATTGTGATGCTTTCTGGTTTCAGCCTTTTGGAATGAAAATTTCCACATTTTTTCCCTCAAAACTTCAGCTGATCATATAGAGCATGCCTTAAAGGCTGAAGGGAAAAAAACCGAAACATTTTTTCTCCCTTCAAATCATGTCTTTATTCATGAAAAACATTACTTTTGGCAGCGGAGGATGAACAAAGATCTCAGAGTCCTTTCTTATCCTACCAAGAATTTGCAGATCTGCTTTCCAGACCACTAGAAAACTTGTTTAACCGATGTGTCCCAGGTTTCTGTGAAAAGCAACCCTCCCACCCCAAAAAAGAGCAAACTATCTGACGTGTCGCATTTCCTATATGTGGGTCCACAGATCAAAACCAGCTGAAAAACACCGAGTGGACTAGAGACGCCCATTTAACGCAGCCAGCATGTTCAGGAGGAAACCACAAATGGTCTCCTGGAGGCAAGCTCAGGTGTGGTGCTGACCCCTTCCAACCGCCTGCCTGGTGGCTCACGTCCGAGGCTCTGGGAAATGCTCTCCTCCACCCACAGCCCAAGAAATAAGATAGCTTGCTCTTTTCCTTTTTTCTTTTCCTTTTTTTTTCTTTTCTTTTTTCTTCCCAGTGCTGACCTCCATGACTGGAAAAGCCTTTGCCACAGCAGATCTTCCTTCAGGGAGGTGGGTGTTTGCTGCACGCACAGATCCAGGCCGTAGGCGTGCATGCTCACCCCAAAGCACTGGCAGCATCTCTGACTTCGCAGGGCAGAGCTGACCTGCCAGGAGTTTAAATGCAATTCAGCGCTGTCTGAATCCTCAGGCTTCCAGGAGGTCCAGACCAGGCAATACTGGTAGGTCCCATCCCAGGCCAAATGACTCCTGTTTCTCACTTTAAAATCAGGGAAAAGAACTTCTTCAGGGAGGAACTGTCGTCTCTGCATCAGCACTGGTGGAAACACGACAGCTTACACCCACGGAAATAACGGGTAAGATCCGTGGATATACAGCTGCTTACACCCATCCAGGAAAAAGCACTGAAAACTCTCCCCAGGAAAGCAAACATTCAAAAGGACACTTCAAGAGTCTCTAGCAGCTACTGGAAGGGTATGGAGGATGGACATTAAAATACACACATCAAAATACAGGTATATCCTTAAAAATACAGACTTATCCTTTTTTAATTTATTCTTTCAGAAGAACCCAAAACCTTTCAGATAAGAAAGCCACAGCAGCCCCGAGCGGAGGAGCTGGTGAGGAAGAGCTGCAGAGCTCCCCGTGCACCCCCAGGGCTCAGGAGCGTCCCACGCTGCCCAAGATGGGGTGCGTCGGCTGCATTTCGCCGGGATCCAGGACACGACGGATCGGTGTGCCTGTAGCTTTCCCCAGCCAGCCGTGCACCCTCCTCGGTTCGCTCTCTGTGGCTGACTTTGGGTTGGTGACTTTACCCTCTCCCCCGTAAGTCAGCAGCAATGCGAGAAGCCGAGGGCTGCCTGCAGAGGCGCTGCAAAGTTTTGCAGGGTCTATAGCTGATGGCCACTAAAGCACCTATTCCCACCCATTTCCACAGGGTGCATCTCCCCCATGGTTTTGTGCTGGAAGAAATGAGAAGAGCCTCAAGGATGGTCTAGCTTAGATAAAATAGGAATTTTCAGTCTCGTGTGTAAACTGTCCCCATTCATCAAAACCCACGTATAACTGCTGCCCAAGTCTGGTCTAAAACTCCGGGGTGCCTCCTGCTCTCAGCTCCCCAGAGGTGTGGGGAAAATGACTGTTTCCCAGTAAAAACTCTGCTAAACCAAAAATCTACAGAAACGCTCTCTTTTAGCAAGTTATTCCACAAGGACCAGCGCCCAAGAAGGCTGTCTCCAAACACCAGTATGGCTTGAAGGGTTGGTCCAGAGACTCTCTAGGGTCTAATAAGGGTTGAAGTCACCCTGCTGCCCCCTCCCTCTGCCCCATTCAGGCACAAAAAGAGTCTCCTTCCTCTACTCAGCTGCCTGCTTTCATGAAACACAGAGGAACATCATGTTTCTGAGACCTAAAATCCTCCTTTCAAATATGGTTTTCAATGTGGAGTCAAAGGTTGTTGGAGTGGGAAGTGCAGGCTGACAGCGTGACTGCTAGTCTTGTTTTCTTAGGAACCTATGCTAAAAAATGTCTAAGCAAAACATTTCAACTTCAAAAAAATAATAGTATCTGCTTGGCTATCTGTGTGACACAGATCTGCAAATAGCTTTGGTTGACCTGTGGCTGAATGTATTTGGAGAATAAACACACTGATTGAAAATTTTCCCCAGATCTAAGAGTAAAAGCAGCACCAGCCAACGCAGCTCTCAGCCCTCTCCTGGACTAGCCGTTAATCAGGGGCTGGTACGGCAGCGCCGGGGAGATGGGGAGGGGGCAGAGGGCCACGCAAACACTCTGCACGGCTGTTTTTCACCAAGTGTCCAATACTTTAATAACCCGACTCAGTTCAAAGCCTTAGTGAGGCTGTGACAACCTGGCCCGGGTGCCATGTGATTGCTAAGAGATGCCCAGCAGGATTAGAAAGCCTGGGGAGCGTAAAGTGTCCGAGGGTCCTGACCATCCCACATTGCAGAAACCAGCTGCTCCGCTCCTCTGCCAATGCCTCCTACTCCTCTGCAGGGCAGTGGGAGGGTGACAGTCCATCCTGGTTTGGCGTGTCAGACAGTGGGGATGGCTGGAAGCTGCAAATACCTTTGCTGAAATGTCTTGGCTTAAGTCAAGGAGAAGACATCAAGACAGTGAGGATGAGTCTTTGCACCATGGAGAGGCACAGCCAGGTCTGGATCTCAAGGGGAGAAAACCATCCCTAAGGCTTTCCCTTCTCCTTGCTCTCCTCGTTCACACATCCCAGACGCCTTTGGGCTTCTCATTGCCCAGAGCGGCCCCAGACAGCCCTTCCCAATGTGCCCCTGGAAGTTACCTTTGCAGGGTCTTCTCCTAGAAGCCGTTATGAAGCCCCTCGTGTAAACAACATCTTGGGAGGGACGATCTATTTTTAAAAGCGTGAGAGGTAGAAATAAGCCACGAGCTTTCAAGCAGGCATATGGTACTGTGACCAGAGCAGTCTCAGCGGGGTGGGGAAGGACCTGTGCTTCTCTCCCCTGAACTCACCCACCCAAACTCCTCCCTAGGATGCAATGCCGAGGAGCGCTTCACAGAGAGAAAGCCTAAACCCCAAAAGGGGGATTCTGCCAGACAGCAGTCCCCAGATAAAATCCAAAGGATAAGGGCCATCTCTAAGACCAAACTGGTGGTCATCAAAAGCATCCTATTCATTATTTGGAGCAGGTGAACCTATGACTTGTTCTTCTGGGTGGATGAGGAGGACCCCATGGCACTGAAGCAGCAAACTATCAGGGAAGCCACATGTTTGCGGACCTAACTGTGCAAACAATGTTTGGATTGCAAGAAGGGGGTCAAGGTGACCTAGGAAGAGAGGTTCCGGGCCTGATGTGACTCCTGGAAGCCAGTGGGAAGCTGGCTGTGATCAAGCCAGATGAACAGGAAGAAATCCAGCCAAAGGCTCCAAGGTCCTGACCAACAATGAAGCCACTATGCTAAAAAATACCCACCAACCTCATTTTTAACTGCCTACAAGCCAGCTGGCTCCCCACAAACCAATACATCCTGTGGATCTTGCACCCACACCCAGTTCCTGCTGGGCCGTGGATGGCATGGAGGAGGACAGGGAGGCCTGTGAAATGCACAGACATCCCAGATCCTTTGAGCAGACTGGGATTGCCACATCTGCACTTCTTTCCTGCCGCCCCTTAAGCAGTGCTGGCCACAGGAGATGGACACTGAACACCAGTCTGCCACCAGAGACACCTGGTCCTTAGAGCGGCAAACCACAGCACCACTCAATGGCACCGGTCGTTCCCACACATGCTTGTGCTCTAGTGACTAGAAATTGCTCACCAGTTCAGTACTGACCATTGAGGGGAGGGTTGGGAGCAACATGCATGGAGTGAGTTCCCAGCCTTTCCTTGCATCCCAACCAGTGACTGCCATGGGACAGCCACAGAACTCCCTCTTCTGGTCACTGCGTGGTGGCTGAGCCTCCCCAAGTGCTCTGCCATCATCTCCCCTGGATCTGTGTCCCATGGAAAGGTTTCCTCCTTGCTTTAAACTGGATGTGCTAGGGAAGCAAGTGCAATGCCTTCTATTTTCATGTATTTCTACCTGATCCTCTTTCAAAACTTTCTGAATTGCAGAGAGAGACCACGAAAAAAGAAGCCGCAACCTCCCACGGACCCAGCTCTTGGAGAGCCACAATGATGCTGAACCAAGCCCACTTTGCAAGCCTGGCAGTGAGATGGGGTGGGATGGGAACAGGTAAGGAAAACCAGCGGGGCGGTCAAACTGCTGTATCCTCCAGTTGTCCCATGTGAATATAAACAGCCCATTAGAACTATCTGAGGGCCACTCTCAGGCTGCTCTATACTATGCCAGAAACTCGTCAGCTCCAGAGGGGTTATTCACTCACCTGTAAGGCGAGGCGGTACCCCAGGAGAGATAGTCGGTGGGTCTCGGAGCTGGGCGAGGTACTATGGGCTGCTCCACGGCGGTCACGTCCCCTGAGTAGGATTTGAGCAGAGAGGCATTCTTGCTGGCCAGCATGGCCCTCTCGTTCCGGCGAAACTTGGCTCTCCGGTTTTGGAACCACACCTAGGATAGGAAGCACACAGACCCACCAACCATCACAACCAGCTCTGCTGCGACACTCACCCTTTCACCACACCACCTCTGTCCTGCTGGGCAAGACAGGGCTCTGTCAAAACAGGCTGCTTTGACATGCCTGTCACTGGAAACTCTAATGTCAAGACAATCCTTATGTCTGCCCTGATAAAGCTCTCGTGCGAGGAACTGGCTCAGTGAGGTCCCTACGGGATCAGGTCTGTCCTGTGCTGTAGGCAGCAAGGCCTGGGAGTGCTGTGTTCAGACATCATGTTCCATGGTCTGCTTTGACTTTCAGAAGGTGCAGGCTTGCAAGCTAAGAGCTAAGCAGCTCAAGATAATGTGAGCAGCCTGAGCACAGGACATCCAACACCCTGGCCTTGAACAAACCATATGAACACATCTGACTGGGCAGGTGGTAAATATGATGGCAGATCAGGCCTGGCAGTCCTCCTCAAGGCATGGCATGCTTGGGACTGCAATACAGCATGACCCAGAGCTTGGTGACCCTAGTGTGCCACACAGACTTCAAGGATTTCTACTGCCGTACTGGAATGGCCTGATGACCCCTCTCAGGTGAGGTGTGTCTGGATACAAGCTGTGGTGATTACCTGAACTCTGGCTTCAGTGAGGTTGACTCTGCGTGCAAGGTCTTCCCGTACAAAGGCATCGGGGTAGTGTGTCCTCTCAAAGACCCTCTCTAATGCCTGGAGCTGGCTGCTGTTGAAGGTAGTCCTGTTTCTTCTCTGCTTTCTTTTCTTCTTCTCTTCTGAGTTCAGCTGATCATCTAGGAGAGACAACTGGAGATGTGAAAGGCTAGAAAGCTAAGAGCCCACAGCAATGGGGTGAATAACCCCAACGGTTTCAAGACGGAAAGGGCTTAGGAAGGGGCTTGCACCATTTCACCACCACATCTTAACCGCGCCATGTTAGTCCCCATGTAACAAGGAGGTGGAAAGTGCATTGACCTCAAGCATTTATTTCCCAGCTCAACTGCTCAAGGCTTGTACCAGCTCTCTCAAGCTACCCCATACCTCTGCTTCCTTGTCTCTAAAACGAAAAAAACCCCCAAAAGTCCAAAATGCATCTCCCCATTCCTGACAATCCTAGAAACCTTTTCTGACCATAAAGAATCATGAACCCTTGTTCTCTTGGCTTCAAAGTTCCAAGGACTGCCCTTACTGGGACATAATACAGGCCTCTGGGGTGAGCACGCGTCCTGCGCCAGGTCTGACTGACTGTGAGAAGGTGTGCCCATCTCTGAGTAAGGTAAGCGCAAGTAAACAGCTATTACTCTGGGCTTGACTACAGCCAAGGTAATGCCGTTCGCTGTATGTAGCTCCACTTGGCTTAAATGAAGACGGCATTCTCTTATCCTCCCTGCATCCAGACCGAGAGGCGTCAATTCGGGCAGAGATGGGGAGCTGTGAACAAAGAGGTGTCAGACAGTGGAAACGAAGCGTGACTGATAGGGGCCTGAACAAGAGACAAGCACAAAAGCCAGTTTCACTTGTACCCTTGCAAGCCAAGGGCACGGAAATACAGTCAGACAGACATGGATAGCATTGCAATTGGGAAGCAAAAGCCCAGTAAGAGAGAGACTGAGCATAAGCATGTTGGATACTGTTGACTGAAGGACAGTTATGCACTCTCCAGCATCCCCTTGCCTTGCCCAAGCCAGCAAGGTGGTGAGCAACAAACTGTGCATCCCATAAGAGCACATATTGGTTTGTGCCCGGTTTGTATTTACTCCAGCAATAAATCAGTACATGCACGCATCTGGAGTCATACTTCTCACTACTGCCTGTGCCTACAGTCACTGGAGCAACATCAGTGCTGAGATAACTATGAAATGGCTTTTCTTAGCAAATACCTGCTCTGCACCATCTCTCCTTTTTCCAGTGCTGTTGCACATGCCAATGTAGCAGCAGCGATGGAGCTATCAATGCACGGGCACTCGCAGGTACCAACAAGCAGTGAGCGATGGCTCCAGGCATTTGAATGCTCTTTATTAGGACAAGCTGGAGGCTATGTCGCTGCTTTTGCTTCTACCCTACCTGTACCGAAGTATGTTCACTCATGACACCAGTCACAGCATAGCAAACACTTCAGTTACCGTGGGTAGCCACGCCGAAGGAAGTGGAGAGCAAGGCACCAGCCTGCAGGAGCGGGAGGCCACTGCTGCCTCCGTAAAACAGCCCCGTTCAGGCTGCAGGACTGGTACACCATCGCCTTGCACTCGTCCCTCTTCAAGCGCCCCAGTATGCGTGGGGTCCCACCAAAACCATCAAGGCTTCTCATGCTCCTGCAGCCCCAGCCTTCCACGCTCCCAAGCACACTGGGCAGAGCCCCAGGGGGGCAATGTCAGCGTGGTCCCACTGTCTTACGTGAAAGAACAGTAGTTACACCTGGGAGGATCTGAGCCAATATACATGTCAGCATGCGTTAAAATATACTGATCATTGTATCTATAAAAATGGATGTGCTAGTGAATTATATTTTAAGTTAATCACTACGCACCTTGGCCCAGATGACAGTCTCACCACTGCTATATACAGTTGCAGAATATTCCCTCGACAGTCATTCTTTTTGCCATACACAAATACGACAGCTCCCCTCATCCTCCTGTTCTCGAGGGGGTATGTAAGGCACAGGGAGAAGCTGACAAGGAAATTAAAGTCTACAGTTGTTGTCCTCACCACCTGTTTGTGTTGCTTTTCACAGCCCATCTGGTAACGGTTACTGCACCTGAACGCCTTTGGAGCGAGGCCCATCCATTTGGGAACAAAAGGACATTCCTCTTAAATTAAAGTAGGTTTTTCAAATTCCTGGAGGTTTACAGCTCCTCCGTCCCCAATCCTTCTCCAACAGCCTGACGATCCCCAGCAGACTCCTTTCCAGCCTGGGGATTCCTGGGTGCAAAAAATACACCCTCGGTTTTCTTGTATCCGAGAGGAAGCGTTTGGAGACCAGATTTTAACAGGCACGTTGAATCATAAAGCTGAGCTGGGAAGGGACTGGCAGAGGCAGGAACGTGCAAGAAAAACAAACATGCGTAGGAATCCCGGCGCATTAAAACAAGGCTACAGGTGAATCTATCCTGCTCAGGTGATGGGAACCAAAGCAGTGAAGCAGAGGGATGGGATTTAACTGCTGCTTGTGCAGAAGGCCATGCACGCATTTCCACCTGCTGGGGGGTTTAGCACCGTCCCGGGGTCCGTCCCTTATAAAGAAGCAGAAAAGTCCTGCACGCTCCTCTCTTGACTTATCATCAAAGCCTTTACACAAAGGGTCAGTAATTTCCCCCTGGCTTTACTGGCGAGCTTCAACGTAGTTGTGCTGCCGTGCACCACACAACACAGCAAACAGCAAAGAACACGCCTCGGGGCACTGCAAGACCAGCTGCTGCAGAGGCCAATGTCAACATGGGTGTCTTGGCTTCCTTCTGAGTTATCCATTTGATGCTATTTTCTAATCTAAACCCTGCCTACGTGGACTGGATGAACAAATGAATAAAAGCCTCTGAGACCCCTTGGGAATCCCCTCCAGGCCTTTGAAGCATCAGTTCCTGCCCAGAAGACGACACCCGATTAGAGGGAGCACGAGCCCAAGGCCGTCTGGCCATTGCTCAGATCCTGCGTGACAGCTACACATGAGGAAGGGTGAGCACATCGCTCTGGGGAGCAAGAAGAAGGGCCAAAGCCTGTAAAACGCTGGAGAACAAGAATCCCTCCTGCCAAGCACGTTAACACAATTTGCCTGGTTTCCTCCCGGCATAAAGCGAGACACTGGTGATTCACAGCTCACCTCGTAATTATCGGACCCAAAAATAGCAGGGCCAAGAAACGGAAAGTTGCAGGCAGTGGCTGCGTTGCAGTGACTCACGGTCGGGTCACCGTTGGCTAACGCACCTCCAGCAGCGGCTGGCGCCGAGCAGGGACGTGAGTCACCCCCTTTTTCCAGGACGCAGCTGGATGGAGGTGGCTCGACAGCAAAGCCCAACCTGTGACAGGGGTTTAGGATTTTGAGATCTCCTCTCACTGCACCTCTGGAACAGCACAACACAGCTAGATCCAAATGTCTACAGGAGTTACTCGGGTAGCAGAAAAAAAATAGTAATAGCCGAGTTAGCCCAGAGCACCGCTGGGTTGATCACTCCTTGCGTTTTGCCACGCAGACATGCCGTATGTTGATTAAAAACTGCTAACGAGGGAATGCAGACACCTAAACCCCGGGTGTCTGCAAATGTCACCTTGCTCACAGCAGTCACCGGCTGCCTTCAACATGTCAGCAGGGTATTTTTTTTTTTCCTGCCATTATTTCTTTATGAGGAAACAACGCTGAACACTGAAAAATGGTATTCCTAAATAGCATTGACAGCACTAGTGACTGGAGTCAGCAGAAACAGAGAGAAGAGGAAAACAGCTCTAAAGCTTCTTAGATGGGTCAGAAGTCTTTCATCAACATTCTTTTAATCAGAAATATTTTATTACAAGCAGCGTTCTCAAAAGCCGAGTTGCTTGCAAATGCATCCCCCAGAGAGATCGAAACGCACGTTCTCCTCTCAGGAACCCGATGCTGGAAAATCTGGGAATTTAATTTCAAAATCCCAATCTTTCATGTTGGGCTGGGGGATTTTGTTTCCTGTTTCCACATTTGTGTTTTCCTGTGTTATTTCTAGATTCACCCATGACATGCAAATCTTGGTGTCATACACAAATGCACTTCTAGGACGCACCAAAGCATTTTTAATTGCTCCTAAATGATACAATATGAAATGTCCTATTCTTTTTTCCCTTGCTCATCACGTCTCCTCTTGCAACGAGGCAGATCCACACTTGAAGACACTCTGATCTATGCTCCTTATTGCACAGCAGCTGTCCTCGTGTCTGTGACTATCACTCGGGTACCATCAGACGGCTCCTGTTGGGATGCCACCTTGAAAATACAATGCATTATAAAGCAAAACAGAGTTTAGAACTAAATGCCTACATATAAGTTACAAGATCAGTATTTTTTCCACCAATACTTGCAAGTGCAACATATTTTGGATTTCCAGTTTGCAGGAATGCTTGTGCATATTTGCTTTCATTCCAGGTCAGAACAAAAACTAACTTCCAGATGGGATTTACATTGTGTGGGCAGTTTTGAAAAGTTTTGACCAGTTCTATTAAGTCCAGAACCAACTATTATAGTACATTAATTGGATCCAAATTGAAAGTAAACAATTGGATTTAATTAAGTGAGGAACAGAAACATTTAACCGCAATATCATATATGGTAAGACACGAAAGATTTCTCACATCAGTTATATAAACTGTAAACTGAGAAAGGATTCCAGGAAGAAAATAAGGAATCACACTATAATCACAGCCTTCAAAATAAGAAGTTACCGCTAAAGTTTGAACACAGATTAAAGAAAAAACAAGACAAATTATTTCAGAGGGAAAAAAAAATAATCTAGAAACTAAAAACCTAGCAACTAAAACCACCTTTGAAACAAAAAAAAACATTTTGCAAGCCAAAAAAAAAGAGAAAGTTTTATTCAGAGTGGTGAGGAAAGGAAAAAGGAGAATAGAAGGGAGAGGAACGTTTTTTTTGTTGGGTTTAAAGTTAAAATTTAAGAAGCTTGAGTACAAATATTTCCGCGGGTCCCCCCGGCTCCGAGCAGATTCTTCTTCCCAACATCAGCCGTCCAGACAGCTACAGCCCTTTGCAGGCTCATGTTCCAGTTTCATTCGCGCTCTGCTTTGCTTTTGATTCATTATCTCCCTCCAAAATATTGCAATTCTTTGGTTGCAGGGCAGCTTTGTCAATTCATATCATAAAAAAGAAAAAACAAAACCCAAACCCAAAAGGTTTAATCAAAGCTAAAACAAGGCGCCAGGAAGGGGAGCGGGAAGCAGGGACGGGGACATACAAAATCCACCTGATGACAAAGCCCTGCCCCAACCGATATTTGAGACGGGTCGCTAGTGATTTTCCACTCGCGCGGAATGCTGGAGACGAGCCAGCGTGCCGCAGAGCAGGGCTGCCCGCGGGCAGGGGGTCCCACCACCATGGTTCACGCGAAGACGAGATCGCGCCCCACCTAAAACAGCCGACAGACACCAACAGCGCTCAGCGCCGAGCCCGGCCAGAGCAAGGTTCACCCTAAATAAGCCGATCTCAACCTGAAAAGCCACTTTCCAGCCTGAAAACATTGCTTTGGCAGAAAACGGCTAACAGCCTCGCACCTCTATTTTCCCTCAGCTTGTTTTCCGTGTCTTTGACCAGGCTGGACGGCCAGGTCCATCGCTGGTTTTGCAGCTTCTCCTCCCGAGCATCGCCTGGAAGGACCCCGGTCCTCTGGGCAGCAGGAGCCCATCGCCCAGCAGCATCCGACATCTTCACCAGATGTGAGCAGGGACAGAAGAGGGGCAAGGGGACCCACACGGATAAGATTTCGTGCTCAGAGCTGCCTGAAGTATCTTTCTAAAAGCTCCCAGGAGAGAATGAACTCCGGTTTATACATATTTCCATGCATGAAAAGTATTTTCAAATGGAAATAAGGTTTAACTTCACGGTATGCAAATGCTACATGGAAAAGTTATAATTATCCTACACCAGACATCGCAAATGTAGGCAATATGGAATGAAGATGACATTTAAAAGAAAACTAAATATATTAAGGTAGAAGATGCCCATTAAGTCACATACTGAAGCTAGCCCTGACGAGCAGCGATACCAAGCCCAGCTGTACAACCGCGGTAACGGCAGGTTTGTATTTGTAATTACATGTCAGACTACAGAGATTTTTTGAACTATCATTTTTCTCCCATTACACAACACCGGCTGAGCTTTTTTCTAACCTTTGCTGTTTATTTGTTTGGTTTTTTTCTGCACCATCTGTGCACAAGACCTCAAATTATTCCAATTATACAGAAAATTCAAGTATCTGAAGTTCCAGTCTTGTTAAGATCACCAGGAACACAGGGAAAAAAAAAAAAAAAGAAAAAACCCAAAGAAACAGATGCTATCCTTCTTCTAAAAGCCTTCATTTTTTTATTATCTCATAAACTAATCAGGTTCAATTTTTGCACATAAAAAATAACTTATTTTGCGCACAAGCATGGAACTTCAGAAAGGCAATACTGAATTTTTCACACAAAACCCGAGTTTTAATATTAAATGGAAAAGTGTGTGTATTTTCAGCGTTACCCGCGGGACTATGGCAGTTCCCCTCCGAAGTGTCTGCAATGTGGAACCTATCAGGATAATTTTTAGCTGACCGCATACAAACAATTACATATCATTACAGAGCTGTGAATAGCTTTTGCATGGATAGCGTGCCTACGGTCTGCCGTTGCGCTCGGCTCTGCCTGCCAGACTAGGGGAACTCACTGAGGTCCTGTACAACCATGGCTTCACCAGCCTCGACGGTGAAACCCTCGTTGTCCTCCACCAGGACAGGCGCTCAAGCAGAGGGACCTCCCGCCTGTGCCACGGCCAAAAGGGACATTTCCAGGTGGGTTTCAAGGCGCAGCACCAGCCCACCAGGAACAAGGTCTTGGGGTTGTCGCCTTCCTGGTGGAGAGCCTGTAGACACCTCTGAGCTCCTGAAGACTAGTTTCTAGCATGCAAACAGTCTTCACCTGGACTTACTGGGCGCTGCAGGCACCTGAGTGCAGAGGCATCCCCCGTGCTCTGCTCTGCACTTTCGCGGGCCTGCAGAGCTGCGGATCAGGTCCCTCTGCAACCCCAACCTGCTCCGCTCCTGACCCACAGACAGGGCAGCATGAGCTCCTCCCGAGCAGCTAAGGGCCCTATCCTACAGCAACGTAAGACAAAACTCCTTTTCAGAGTGGTTTCAGCTCTGGTGCTCTGCCTCTCATCTGGTGGGAACCTGCAGAGCACATGGGCAGTTATAGCAGCTAAGATGTGCATCCTCCCTAACCACGTCAATGTTCCCGCTTGCTGGAGTTGACAGAAGAACTGATGTTCGGGGGGGAAAAAAAAAAGTAATCATGATCCAGTGGAAATCCAGAGTCTCCCTGGAAAGACATGATGTTAAGTGTTAATTACTGGGAGAACAATATTTGCGGGGGCAAAAGTATACATCCTTCTCCATTGGTACAAAGCCATTGAAAGTCCCCCTAGATCCCACAGACCAGCCTGAGTTCTGCTGTAACAGCTCTGCTTTTATATTCGCTAGGGTTTTCCTTCTGGGCATCCTACAGCTCATAAGGCACATGGCTTAGTCCTGCTCTTCTAACAAGCCTTTCCGCTGGGTCTTGGGGTCAGAATGTTCCCATAATACAATAAGCGCTGTATGGATCTCATAAGCTCCAAGGCACAGTATGTTATGTGTTTGGAATTCCTTGTATGCTTTTATACTTTGTTTTACATATTGTAATTTTTATATGCATTACCACATTGATCCTTGGAAAATTAATTTAAAAAAAAAAAAACCATAATCAAAAGCAAACACATATTTTAAAAGCCTGCCAGCGGCAAATCATGTTCTGTGAGACTGCACTTTGTAACTGACGAAGAGACCAAACCACCAGACCGTGGCAGCGATCCAGCGGGGTGGATTTACCAGGCTCAGGAGGGGACAGGATCCAAGGGGGCTGTAGTCCCCCCCCTCCAGGCCCCGAATCCCTCATTAGGGTAGCCTGATGCCGCAAAAGCATTGGACCCGTGACAGAGGAGCAGAAATGCAATCGCACAGCTCCACCAGCCAAACCCTACCACCATACCCAAAGGTATCATATCTAGAACGAGTCTGTGCTTCTCAGCACAGCACTCCTCCGCGATGACGTCCAGCCACTGGTGCCAGTATGACCACCAGACCTTCCCTGGAGAGCTGGAGCACCTCAGCCTTCACAGCCCCTTCCTTATTCTTGGGTAAGACCTGGGATCAGTGCGTTTGGCAGCACTGAACACTTATAAACTCACGGCTTTGCAAGGTCAGGGGTATGACTTCCAACGCCCACATCCTCTTCCCATCAGCTCCCCTTCCCATGCCATGTGTCCTGATGTTTCATCTTAGGAACGGCATTTATGCAGCCAAGATCAAACTTCCTAACCTCCGCCCTGCTCCATCGGTATTTTCTCATTTCCAAAGCCGCCTCTCTATGCTCTTGGCCCCCTCCCTGGCCTAGCTCATTCCAGATAACGTCTTTCTCCTCTCCTCTCTGGCACCCTTTCTTGTCCTTTCTACAAAGGCTTGAAAAGCCGGGTTGTGTAGCGCTGCCCCTTTTAAGTCTGACATGCAAGTGGTGTATATCCAAACCAGCACAACATCCGAGAGCATTCTTCTTAAGAGTCAACACTGATCTTAGCTTGACCATGTAACGAGGACTTCCCATGCAGGAGCAGACTGGTGCACCAGGGAGGCCAGTATCCACGTCCACCTGGATACCACCAGCTGCCTCAAAGACAGTGGCCATGACCGTCACGACAATTAGGCAAGGGCAGGTTATTAATCTATTTTCCACACTCATGTCCCCCTGCAGTGAGCTCCATAGGGTTACACATTATACAAAAGGCACACAGTATTATTTCCACCTGCTTTCCCGTTGGATTTACCTGGTGTCCCCTTTCTCTTTATGTACAGAGGTGATCCACGGACCTATAGCTGGACATGAATCACAAACAGGTGTCACCTATGCCCCAGGTTTCAAGAATCAATACGCCCTTTGACGCCAAGCTGCTGGGACAAGACTTTAACAATAAAATACAGAACGTGTTAGGGAGACTCCCTCATTGCCGGGACCAAGCGTGGGGTGCATTTTGATTCCTTCCACAGAAAGGAGTCCCTAGGAGAGAGCAAAAACGATGCGGTGCTGGTGCCTCGGCCAGGGGTTAATGGGGTGTGCCGAAGCCAGGAGCACAACACAGCTCCAGCCCTTCGGGATGATACACTTCAGTCTTTTCAAGGTCTCTCCAGCCCTCAGAGTACTCCCTGAGACCAAAATAGATAGAAACCACTTCCACCGTCTTCTGATGGCCACAGATTCAGAAGGTTGAGCCTCCCTGCTAGTACCCACGTAGAAGGATACATCAGCCAGAAGCCATGAAGTGGGGACTCTGCAGTCCCCCTCCCACTGCACACCCACCTGAACTCTAGGCAACACTGCTTTTATTAGATTTTCTCTTCTATTTAAAAAAGTGGCAAAAAATCCTCATGAACTTCAGCTAGAAAAACTTTCTAACAGGGAAAATTAGAGCTACTTTTGCAAGGAGCAGATAAGGAAAAAGAAGGGAAGGAAGGAAAAAGAAGGGAAGGAAAAAGAAGGGAAGGAAAAAAAGAAGAACTAGGGGAAAAAAAGAAGAACTAGGGGAAAAAAAGAAGAACTAGGGGAAAAAAAAAAAACTAGGGGAAAAAAAGAAAAGAAAAAATAGGGGGGAAAAAGGGGAAAAAAAAAGAAGAAGAAAAAGAAAAGGGTTCTACCAAGACAGAAAAGGGCTGCCTTAGGGGGGATTTTTTTCAGTCCATATATATGTTGCAGATGAACCACTTGGCATTTCGGGCTTTTCAACTGGCTCACTTCCAAACGCTGTGGCAGCCGCAAGAGTCTGCAAACGTTACCAAGCAATCTCCCGCCCGCACCGGGAAAGACTGACTCAAGCTGACCGGCTTCATGAATGTCTTTGCTTGTTCAGGTCCCTGCGGAGGCCCATCGTGCTGCTGAGAAGTGCCATTATTAAACAGCCCCATCCCGACTGGATCTGGAAATTCACTTGGATGTGTTTTTTTGGTATGTGGGACCCACGCGAGCAGACAGACAAGGACCGGTGGGATGTGCGCGCCAGCTGGCCCCACCGGTAGGCAGAAACACTGTTCTCAATGGATATTTCATCTGTTTATTGTTGAAATATCCAGGACTGCAAACTGTATGGCACAGAACGACCGTGCCGGGACCACGGGGTGCCACGGGCCGGGAGAAGGGGAAGTGCAAATGACGGCGAGAACGTTGAAACCAGCTCTCCAAAGGCTGCGCTCCCCTTTCATTAGCATCCAAGAACAAAGGTGTTTTGACCAAATCAGACCACCACTGCCATCGCCCCTACCAAGTAAATTGGACTGAAGCCACTGCAGAGCTTCGCTTAGAAATCCAGATTTTGACCGCTAATGCATTTTATGGGTCCCTCTTGATCACAGCTGGAAAAACGATGGCATCCGAGATCCAGAAATAACAGAACTTGAGCCCGCCTGTCAGCATCCAGCCCACCTGCCTCTTCCAAGGGATGAGCATCCTGACCAGGAGCGCGCTCCTCGGGTGGGGGAAAAAGGACCTTTACATCCTGCATCGCTACGGGAGGCAAAAAGATTAGAGAGTATACGGCCATTTCAAAACAACTCTTTCTCCTTCCCAGGTCCATAGTGAAAACCTGCTCTT